TGACTTACGAAATTAAGTTAAGGTAGGTGTAATTTGTTCAACTTTGACATGACAACAAGCTTGAAAGAGACTATCATTATGCAATAATTAATAATTATTCACAACCGTTTCCAATTTATTTACTGGCAACATTCTCCACAATAAAACAGTATTTTATCATTGGAACACATTTCTGTTCCCTTTCGAAAAACATCTAAAAAATCGAATTCCTTATTTAAACAAATGTGCTTAACATTAGAATTGATTAGGTGGCGTGCGCGCGCGCATTTCAGATCGCTTGCCGCGCGTCTAATTAATTAGTGTAACGATTATGGTACTAGGCACGTGCCACGACATTATTTATGGTCACCATAGCCTGCCTTCGAATGTAGTGGGAAACTTTAGATGTTTACATGTTTATGTAGGTATGTTTTAATGATTTGTAGATAAATTTATAAAACAAAACTTTGTGGTAAATTATTATTTTGTAGTACTAATAGTAACTAATAAATAAATAAATACTAACTAATACTAATAGTACTGAGTAATACATTTTTGCGATATGTTGTATTTATTGATAAGTTTTTTCTTAAGAAAAATCTTTTAGTTTGTTTTTTCAAGGTGATCATTTTGCCTTTCTTTCGCTTTTGAGGGAAATAAGGCGTACGTAACTATTTTCATAAAGTTATGTAGATTCATGCTAAATACCAGTCTATACTGTAAGCAAAATCACTTAACAAAACAACAATTAACTAAAATATTCATTAACAAAATCACTTAAACACTTTTTAACCAACAACATTAACATTAACATAACAAATAATAAATATGAAAATTCACCTAATATCAATATAATAACTATGTTGCCTCAGGCACTGAGGGCAAGTCAAATGCCTTCTAAACTGATTCAAAACGACGCACATTTGTTTAAGGAAGGCTTTACAAATTGTTTCGTTAGGTTAACTTAATGTTTACATGTAAAGCTTCAGTGCTTGTAATTAAATACAGTGGACGTGAATATTCAACTGGGTGTTGGGTTTTAAAAAAAAAATTTATTATTTTCTATTATTTTGACTTTTTCGGTTTTCGAGAAATTCTTAGGATTTTAACGCTCTGGAATCTTATTTTGTTATGGTACTAAGTTCATATATATATATACATATTTATTCACAAAAAATATATTTGATGATATGATATGAGGCTCAACGAATTTATTTTATTACTTAGCTCAGTAAATAATCATATACTTACTGAAGTTTTTTTAAGTTGTAAATATTTCAGTTTTTAATTATTTGTACTTTAAGTTGTATATATTTATACATACATAATTTGATAAAGTAAACACAATGTACAGTAAAATTAATTTACTGAAGTTGAATTGATAAATCCCGAAATTGACTTTAACTTATTTATAGAGAACTGAAGTGAATGATGAAATGATAAAGTCTAAGCAACGGGTTGAATGATAAGTTTGACCAAAAAGATAAATGAACATATTAACCTCTCACCTACCAAAACTAATTATTTATTATTCCCTCTTCAAATAAGTGTTTACATTCATATTTTAATAATTTTTAATCGGCATTTTCCATGGATTACGCAACGCATATTTTTCTAAACTCATCAGTTTAATTACTGGATATTAATCAAAGATGTATGATGTGTCAAAATGTGTTATAACTCTCCAATTAACCCCGAACTTTGCCCTCTGTACGTTGTAGATAACAGCTGCTCAAGCTACACTTATCTTCCAAATAACATATAACATAACATCAACACCTTCTAACTGAGAAGTGTTCGACAGATTTGCTCTTACAAATGTAACACCCACTTTTCACTATGCTTTGATTCACGTAATAGAGGGTGACTGCCGAAACGTCGAATAATACTTTGCCCGATTTGAGAATCGAAACTGAGACCTACTCGGCAGTCATGCTTGCGACCATTTGATATATGATCCTTTCTGTCGAATAAATTCAAACTTTATAACAGAATACTAAAGTTTAAAATCGATATCTGACAGATTAGAAGTTCTATACTGTATAGTATTTAATTTTAGCTGCGAGTTTGTTCAAACGATTTGTTACTAAGTGATGCAGTGCGCCATTCGAGAAGCAATCGTACGCATTAGTGCAGACTGGGGAGCCATCAGTCTTGTTCTTACGCGTTTACCCAAGTGTTTATCTTTTAGATGGAGTATGTTTGTTGTATAGAGCGCTAATAACTTTCTTGTAAGATAAATTAAAATGGCTGAAAGTTTTAACCAGATACAACTTACAACCAGATAATTGTAAAAATATCTATTTCAATAAAAAAAGCCAGTGATAGAGGGCTGCAGCACTATGTGACAAATAAGAATTTTTTAAACTGCCATCTTTAACCAATCAGAGAATTGTGAAAATGATAGCAAATGTCCAGCTGTGGGGTTGTTTATTTGTAATGAAAATTCTTATAGGACTATTAAAGTTTTTTTATATGTAAAATATTAATAACAATGTGAGTTGGTTTATCTATAAAATCTATTAAAAAAAACAAAGTCAGTCGGGTAATGATAATTTTGAAAGCAACTTTCGTTACTTTATTATATTCATACTCAGACGTAACCTAGTATCATCAGTACACGTGTTCTAGATGCAAGCACATCAGTAATTGATCGAGCATGTTTCAATTACCTTAGTGTTTGTATTTATCAACAAAACGACGAAACTCGAAGATCAATGTGTGCGCACGCGTTGAAAGTCGATTGATGATTCTTAACTGATTCAATTAACTGTGAAATACTATTGGATATTTGTCATTTGATGTTATTTTGCTTGAGTAAATGTTAGGCTTTTGATGTTCAGTATATCTTATGGACTAGCAATATATCTTATTATACAAATGGACTTTTCACCTCTTGTGTAATTACTTTTATTGTAACTATGAAAACTATTAAAAGATTTAGTATTTGTTTCACATTTTCTATTTGCTTACATTGGTTTTTAAGACAACTTTCATTCTCAATAAATACCTGAGAAATTGTTAGACCTGCAATATCGAGCCAAACCCTCCTAGCACAATAAATAGACATGACGTGACCTTTAAACCAAATAGTAGCTAATTACTAAAACATTTCACAACGTATAAATGAAAAAAAGAAAACTATTTCTCAAAGACAGACACTACCATTAAGTCACTTTAAGCCCATACCACCTATCATCGCCACAAAAAAGAACATAAAATATCTCCTTCAAATCGAGAATAACTTAGAACAGTTCCACAACATACCGGCCAGTACTCAAATACATCATAAACAACGATTTTCGCATACATATCGTAGTTCAAAAGAACGTAACGGTGGGGAATGTATTATTAAAACGTAATGTATACTGTATAGTTATATGGTATCGTTCGCGGCAAGCTCTGATGTTTATCTAATGGTCTGCGAATGCCAACGATATCTTGTGACGAAGACGTGCCAATATTTTCTTTGTGGATTTAGTTCTGTTTGGTAAAATGTGAAATAGCTGTTACTATATTTTGTTGATATTATTTATATTGCAAGGGAATTCTGGCTTACAAAAATCAGTTAATACCTATGTAGCTATTTTAAGCAAGCAATTTACGAATATATTGTACATTGTACCTACAAAATAATCAGTTCGTCATCATCGTCATTAATCACTTATATTTGGTATTTGAGAAAAAAATGTATAATACTTATATTAAATATTAATTTCTATAATTTAAAGCAGTCCAGAAATCAATTGGCTGTTTTATCTCGTACAATACAAACTAAAATTCAACAATAATTTCGTACAATACAAGCCAAACCCACTATAACTTATCAATATTCTAATCCATCCTCCACAGAAACCCTTTTGAGATACTTTAGAAAGTGTAAATCCCTTACGTTGAGGCGGGCCCATTAGAGACGGGAATAATTCCACCGATAACTTATCGATATATCGATATAATCGGGTGGTCGCTCGCTTATTGTTTATCGATGCTTCCTGGCCGCCGGTCGAGAAAGTATGGATCGATACTTATCGATTAATTACGAATGCGGTTTGTCCCGTGAGTGCGCAATGACATCGATTTGAATTTAGATGCTAGTGTCACAACTGTGATTGGCTATCTTTTTATATGGTCGATTAATTATGGCGTGGATCACATTAATGGGTTATGCTAATGCTTTAACGAATCAAGATAAAGTGTTTGGTTAGACTGAGTGCTAGTTTAGTTGCCTTGTTAGTGCAACTGCAGTTGAGGTAGTAAGTTCTATATATGGGTGAATGCTAAAAGATGATGCCTGATTTTTTCTAGATTCTGCCGAATCTTGACTACCAGTATATAAGACACAATAGAAAATACATCCGCCTGGAGTTGATATGATTTATGTAAGATTATTGTAGGTCTTAATTGTTTAAATGCTATATTAGTTTAGTATCACATGTTAAGGAGCTATTCCACTCACTGCGATTCGCAAACTGACGCTTTTACTCACGCAATTATGTCTAATACACTTAAGTTACTTTATTTAGTACCGAAAACATTGATTAATGGCACCAAACATTATAATTTTACTAGTCCAACATACTAGACACAATGCTGCTTACCACACAAAAAACGAGCGAGATATTATGTCAAACTGTCATAGTTTTTTACTGCTAAACGATTTGCTCCAGTTTTTTTATAATGACGTTTAAGAATTATTATTGTTGATGCTAGTTAAACTCATTTTTATAATGTTGTAATATTTCACCGTCGAGAGAAAGGTTTCACAATGGTCTCTCGACTGAGAGAGTACAATACTCGATAGTCGATAGTTACAATAGAGATGTGTATCAAATAGTGTAGCGCTCCGAATATTATCGATTGTTCGTACATTACCTATGTCGATGTTAGATGGATTCACATAAGTTTTGATTGTGTATTTTTATGTTTTAGCGATGGTAAGATGGCAAATGTATTATAAGCTTAAAAATTAATACTTTACATAGTTACCGTTTTTTAATGATATATTTTTCTTTTGTTCACAGTTTTCAAACGCTTTGACATCAACCACCAGCCGTCTACTTCACTTAATTTTGGATTTTCAAAAGTAAGTAAATTATTTGAGGTGTAGTTTCTGTTGTAATAATGTGTTGTAAATGACACCGTTTATTTTTAACCGACTTAAAAAAAAAGCAGATTCTACTTTTGATCTGTATGCATGTATGTATGTCTGTATGTATACACAGACACACACGTTTGTGTCCGATTATCTCATGATTGGCTGAACCAATTTTGATATGGTTTACAAAAAAGTGTTTGTTATGCATGGATGAAGGTGTATTAAATAACCGACATCAAAAATCTGGGGATTAAGTCGGTTTTTTTAAACGTAGTTGATATATGTATTATCTTATAACAAATACTTTTGTTACTCCATGAAAGCGACATTTTTCTTAGACTCTTAGACATGACAACTACCTAAGTGACGTCTTGATTAAACTTATAGAACATACCTCATATTATTACGTACGATTACGTACGTCTACGACAGCTTGTCCCAAAAAACTGTCACCCAATTGCTGCCAATCCTAGAATTCATTTTCATGCCAATATTACGCCAACAAAACCAACCCTTTCTTAGGCTACAATAAAAGAATCAAAAAACAAGATAACCACATACATTTTCTTCTGTCAGCGGCCTTGTAGAGTTCAAAAATCATATTTCCCCGTAAATAATATACCACAGCGCACAAAGTACAGACACACGCAAAACCAGGCCAAGAACCCCTAACTTAATTAATTAAAACCTTCTTCCAAACTTTGTTTCCCACGCCAGTAATTTCACATTTACAAATTCTCCAGTTCTTTTCAAACTATCTATTTCTCTCTCTTTCTTACGTATGAACATTTTTAAAGAAAAAAAGAGATAAAAATACATTTGAATCATTGCGTAAGGTCGTATTAACGGGGTGTGGTTACTGGCAACCACTCATTATACTTAATTCTGGGGGTTTAATCATAAGTTGGAAGCCATTTTTCATATTAGTTGGTATGTATTCATTATAGGTTTTTTATTTGAATGTTCATGTTATAAGGTCAAATGTACTATTAATAATTGTTAGCCTAGTTACGTAATAAAGTGGTTTCATTTGTCGCATATTTCAATTTCAATCTATGTGTTACGTATGTTTTAATGGGGCCATAGTTGACCTCTCTAAATTATGAATTTCGTACAAGCCATATACTTGATCTATGGGTAGTTAATCTGGCAGTACCGCTTGAAATTATTCGATATGTTCCTAAATCATTGTCGCCGTTTGAATAATATACACTGTCCACCTTTGTAGGATTTTTCGTAATTATAAACATACATTTCGTAAACACAAACATCTAAATCGAATTTCACGACATTTACTACAAAAATAAGTGGCATCAAACTAAATCGACAGTATCTTTACACTTTGCACTGCCCAGTTTTTAATTGATTACACTGTAGGCGCGGTGGCTGGACAATAGGCTGCCGCGCATCCTATAGTGGGTTCGATTGCCGCACGGAGCAACTCTATGTGCGACCCAAATTGTCGTTTCGGATCTTGGTATCAAGTGTATGCTAACTTGCATGTTTATAAACGCACCCACGAATCAGGTGATAATCCTAGTGTAAGGCAACATTTATTAAAAAGAACTTTTACCTTCACTCAGATCTCATTCTCTTGTATTTAATTCTAAACTAAAATTGCCTTCAGGATGAAGATAATGAAAATTATGACAAAGTCAAGCGCAAAACGATCGCGTGGCGATTGTATTCTTGGATTTAATTTATGCGAATCCGTAACTCAAGCGTATCTGTACTGTTTTAAATGGTAATAGAAATTAGAACGGTTTACAGTGGTATGTATTTACTACTACAATTCATATACAAATTGGAGCGATCTATATTTATACGTCGTAAAGTTCTTGTATTTTGTCCTACCTAGACAGTTTAATCGATCTGAGTTCAGATTATCCAGTCTACTAAAGGCTATAAAAGGATCGGTTATTCGATTATTTTTATACTCATCAGTTAGTCAATTTTGTACTCATTAGATGACTAAACCATTGATTCAGACAATTTTTCACATAGTAACAGACAGTTACCTTAAATTTAATTTATTATTTAACTCGTCGAGTACCGGTTTTGCAGACACAATTATAGAACAATAGGTTGCGGTCACCGGTGACCGCTTGGTGTTTGACAGTTTAAATGGCTAAATTAGTGCAGTGAAATGCAAGATATAATAATAAAATTAATCAACAGTCAGTACAATTTTTCTTCATAAAATTACTAGCCATATATTTTTATTAATATTTATGTGTTTTGACAGGCACTGAACGGATTCTTGATGATGATGACACAAAATGGAAAATTGCTATACATATCGGACAACGCAGCGGAATACCTCGGACACTCTATGGTAAGTTCTACAATATAGTAAAACATTACATTTTCTTTAATCTAAATCTTTTTAGAGGTTTTTATCAAATATATGTTATCCCCGTCGTACGTTTTTAATCATTATCTTTATGATTCTAAATATATTTAATAGGAACTTAATAACAAGGAAGAAAAATAATAAATATGTAAGTACTAACACTTATAAACTTAAGCTAACTAAACAATGAATGAAAAAGGAAGAAAAGAAATGAAAAGTCCTCAATTAGACGACAAAGTACTCATCAGCTTCATTATAAATTAAATTCCTACCTAAATCCTATATTGTGACATACACTATTATGCTCGCCACTAACTAATCATTGTTTTGCCTTAGCTTGATAACAGTGTGATAATATTTTCTAATAAATTACAAATTTGTTTAGCAGGTTTACACATACTCAAGTCGATAGCGAGACAGTTTTTTTTTTCGAGCAAAATTCGAGACACAACAAACATAAAAATAGCAACAATTATAAGTCTGAGTTTTTTAAATATTTCGGTCAATAACCTTTACAATAATTAGCCTAAACGTTAAATTTACACAACTTTTAAGGCTATATCTAATCTTATATCGCCATTGATTAACGACCCTGCCAACACATTATAAAAAATAACCAAAAAATCGCAGGTGCGCAAGAATAAGAAGTATCTATACATAATACCTATTAGTATTATCCATAGATCTTTTACAACTAGACGTGGCATTTAAAGTCTCGCAAAAGTAATAGATAGGCCAGTACTTTCAATTTTTATAACAAAGCGCTCCGGTAGGTCTAAATACAAATGGTACCGTCTGACCCCAAATAGTTCCTCGTTAGCCTGCGCCGGCGCACATGAATTAATCACTGTGTTTTATTGTTAACCGTGGTTAGTATACAGGTTGCTGTTTTTTTGATAAAAAAGTACTAATGAACTTTTATGAAGTTGTGTATTAAAATATGACATATGAACATAATTGAAATGTATCTGCAAAAAATTTGACTCGATTTGGTTAAGATCTAGTTCATTATCAGCTGCATACATTTTAACTACCATAAATCTATGTATCTCTTTAAAAAACATAGAAGAAAGTTACAGAGTTGGTCTAAGTAGCATTTTTAACAAATACTTCATTACAAAATAACTAATCACGGGTACTTACTTTCTCATTACATTGACAACAGCCTGTATTTAAAGTATTTTGGCGGCCGCTCCGTGTGAAAACTAGCTACCACACATATATACCTAATGATCACCAGTCAATATGTCCAAATTGTGATTAATAGGGTGTCGGCACACTATCAAAACGAATCATAGCTTATCTAGAGATTTATATTTTTTCGCTTAAATGCATCCATGGTTCTATTTTGACCAATCAGAGAACACTGTCAGATGTCATTATGGATTAAATGTCAAAGAATGATAACATCCGGGTAGTTGTGATTCAGCTTTTGTATTTGGAATCGGTTCGATTTTTGAATTGTTTGGTCATAGCATTAACGTCATTCTTAGCGGCCAGTGTTGAGGTAGATCTCGCAGGAGATAGAATGCATGGAGGTATGAATCAGTTTTGATGTGTGACGTCATCAATTACATTTGAATTTTGCTCTTTGAGTCATTACTGCGTTAAATAAGGAACCATTTTCTTAAAGTATTGGGAAATATATGTTGTATAATCTTTTGAGTTTTCTTAATGTGGGTACCAGATTTGAAACTCAAACTGGTGCAAGATCACATATTAAGATTTTAGGTTTCGAATGTTTCAGTACCTAATATAGTTAAATTCTGGTTTACGATACACGAGATTAAGTTTCGACTACAATCATTTATTTTATTCTAATTACAACTTGATTATATCATTCAACTACGCAACAATGTCATTTCAATTTTCATTTAGCAATGGTGACAGTTAGGACAGGGCATAAATAATGCTACCAAAAAGCGAAAGTAGCCGGATATTAATAAATATAGAAATAAATTACGAAATATTAATTTAAATACAACTAGTGGTTAATAAAATATAATATCATAGAGAAACGTCCCTTGCGGGCGAAACTAAATACAGTATCAATTATTGTGATAAAATTTTGACACTCAATTACTCTATGATTAATGGTCTTGATTCGAAAAAAGGTTCCGACGCTGAGAATTAAGACATTTGCCTTTTTATAGACAGTTAACAAGCCGCCAGTCACTTGATAGTAATTGTAAGTCATCACTGCTCTGTGATCATTGATAAAATCTGCTGTGTCAAATGCCCTCAGGTTGGACACAAAGTACCAGTGTTCTTTTTTTCTTATTAATAATAATAAGACTAGAGTATAAAACCTTTGTATTGTTTTATTGGAATACGCAAAAAAGGTCGTTAACCAAAAATGATGTCAAGAAAATTAATTCTCGTGGAAGGAATTACGTTCTACTATATATCATGTAAGGTTAAAACGTTACTATTATTCACAGTAAAACTGTGGAATGATCTCGTCGTCGGCCGTTTACGATCGGTTATACGATATACCTTCAAAGCTTGAAGAAAAGAGTGTACTTTACTTTCATTAAATATATGTTGATATATCATACCGAAAATCCCCAAAATTTGTTCATACAAAAGTAGTCTATAAACATCGGAAATAAGGTCTATAATTAAGTTAGTGGAGAACGATCACCGGTGACCACTTAGGGATTGAACAGTTAAAAGGCTGACAACGCATCTGTGACTCCTCTGGTGGTCGCTTACTATCAGGTGATCCGACTGCTCGTTTGCTTCCTATTTCATTAAAAAAACTTAAGCTTTACGTACTTGTATTGTAAGTGTGAAACATTTCAAATTGCCTTTATGTGCAAGGAGGTATTAAGTTGTTAAGAATTAACAGAAACTCCTTGCTCCCATATAATTCGCTAATAGAATCTGTAAAAGAAGGTTGTATACTTTTCCCAACTAGACTAACTAAAGATAACTATTGTTAAACAACATTATTTAAGACTGCACCACTTACATATCTAAACATAAAAAGAGGCAAGCAATAATTACTACTATTGATTGAAGCAAAAAATTATAATTATCTTGTACAGTTAGGTTTATTACTGTCTCTGGACTCATTAACAAGACTGACCTTTGCGAAAGTACAATTAGGCTTCCTTTATCGGTCCACAATCAAAGCTAATAAAGACTAAATAGGACCCGACATTAGAAAATTCGAAGTAAACTTTAGACCATACTTTGATCATAACTCATCCATACCCAAAGTTCCCACGATACACTTCTTATGAGCCAGTAATGTAACGATCGATACAACTATTATTATCTCCTCTAAACATCGAAATTATACCTTAATTTCAACAAGATAAGAACTAGTTTCAGATGAAGAGAACCAAACCTCCGAGCAATATTTTATTGTTATTCTGCAATTAAGATTAATGATAAGACTTAGATCAGTAAGTACTTAATCCAAATATCTAGTTTGAAAAAATCTTAAGAACGAACCTGATTAGAGTGGGGAGGATTCTGTAGCATTTGTTTTAGTTTATGTGTCTGATATCTTGTGTTAATAAGTTAATTAGTAATCAAGATTAGTGTTACTTAATTTGAAGGGGAGTAGAAATTAAACCCCTCCCCTTTTTAACTCATCGAGTACCGGTTTTGTAGACACAATTATAGAACAATAGGTTGCGGTCACCGGTGACCGCTTGGTGTTTGACAGTTTAATGATAATTTTATTGTGATATTCAGGTTAATTTGTTGATATATAATATACACCAGGCCAGATAGAAGTCAAACGTCAACCCATCAAATAAAAAAATATACCTTAAATTTTACTAGTAGCTATTTAGTTTTGAAGGCGAATATACTACAAGTAAATAAATCCGATTTATTGACTGTTATTTAAAGAGGTATCGTTTGCATCCGTTCTCTTCTAAGGCATAATTAATATTCAAGCAATTTATAATAAAATTACATTTTTTTTTCTTTTTTATCTTATCTTAGTTTTCTCTTCTTTTTTATCTTTCCTCTAAATTTTCTCAATCTCTTACGTTTTCACACACATCACATCTGAAAAGAGATCCGTGTAGAACCTTACCTACCTAAAAGTTATTTTACCACGCGGAACCCTCAAAAGCAAAACTGATATCGTAAATACGTCTATGAGATCAAATAGATGCGTAGGAGTGTCCTAACAGTACTCGTATTGTTTATAATTTATAACGAAAATGTCAAACAAAGCGGTTGTTATCTTTCTACACTTCGATAAAGCTGTATTCATTGTAGGCCTATGATTTATTGGAGGGTCGAATAAATTAATCGGGTTTAAATGCCAAAGATTATATACTAAAGAAGCTATTTCGTGATTTTAGAGATTGTTTTCAGTCATATGGAATTGGAATACCAATAATTCGCATGGTCTCGATGCGTCTGGCATAATTCCCTTAGATTTAAAGACTCTTGTTATAATTCTTATAAAGAAAAATAGAAATACTTAAGGAATACTGTAAATATTCCTGTGAGATTATTACCATTACCAAAAAACAACACTTGGTCTAGTCCATAGCTTTTTATAAGGGGGGAATATCGTCAAATGACTTCTCCCACCTGGCTGAAAATTAGTCCATAGATTAACTCGTCGAGTACCGGTTTTGTAGACACAATTATAGAACAATAGGTTGCGGTCACCGGTGACCGCTTGGTGTTTGACAGTTTAAACTATCAATGACAATGTTAATTAGATTAGTTTATGTTAGTTATAAACTATATTTCGTGTGCAACAACACTATCATATTCATATTCATATTTCGACCATTCATCTTAATATTTTTAATGTAGTTGATAAGGCTACGCAATTTATTACTCATAGTGTAGGTAGATGAATTGAAAAAATGATGTTACCCTCTTAGAACTACCGTTAAATTAAGCACGTGATTAAAATCTCTACAGGTAATTAAAATTAAGAGTCTTGTTGTTAAAACATAAAAAAATAAAAATAACCGCTGTTTACTTCATGCATATGA